ATACCAACAATAATTTGTGAGACTTGGCTCAAACAAAGTCAATATCTTTATTTCAAAATAAACCTTTCATATAAATGTTTATTATATGTGTATATATATATATATATATAATGTTGTTTTGCTGTAAAATATTATCTTTGATCTTTTTGGGGGCTTAAACTGGATCAAAATGGAATGTATCTAAAACTTTCAAACTCAAATATCACACATAGAAGTTACAACCTGGGCCATGTACAAAATTACTTTGTTACACATGATGATGATAAATATGAAAAATGTATAAAATCAATTAACACTCACTAATTCTAAACAGAATAGTTTTATCAGCATTTATTTTACAATAATACAAATAAGTAGTATTTTTTTGTTGGTTGGTTTGGGTGCTGGATAAGAAAATACAGATTTTCGTTATTTTCAGGGTTAAAGTCTATTCTGGAAACCAGAGAATTTGGTTATCAAATGGGCAGAGCATTTTTCAAAACTTTAGTTATTGTACACTGCAGAATAACATGACCAGCATTTTTTTGTTAAAACTACGTAAACTGTTTGTACAAACACTTGTAAAATAATCAGTAAGAAAGGTAGTAAAAACCACAGTATGTAAAGAAATCACCACATGATAGTGAAAGAACTGGAAGAAATTAGATAAGCTGAATCCTAGTTAAAGGACACTTAAAAACTTCATTACAGTAGTTAGAATGTATCCAGGAAGAAACTGTAGATAAGATTAAACCTGACGAAACTGAATTAGGTCTCACACAAGGAAAAAAGTGGTTTTTTGAGGAATGCAAGGCAACACATAACATTTGTGAAATGCACAGAGGAATAAAAAACCTACCGTTTTTCAGTGAAACCATCAAAAATAAAGATGGCCAGAAACTTTTATAACTTTGGGATGTTAAAGAGAGGTGTGAAGGGGATTTGACAGAATTGTACAATGATGTCATGAAAGAGAAACCAGCCTTATAAGTGGTAGAACAGTTCTAGAAAGAGAACCATGAAAAGCTGTTAAAAGTTTAAACAATTAGAAATATCATGGCATAGGAGATATTCTAGCACAATTTTAAAATGAAAGGTATCTTAGGGATATCTGACAATGGCAACAGACTAAAAGGTCTGTTTTTGTGTTGTTGAAGTTGAAGAAACCCAAGGCTATAGAGTACGGCCAATATAGGATTATCAGCTTTACCGGTAACAGCTCAAAAGCATTCTTATAAATAATCTTCAACAGAATTAAGCATAAGGCCGAGAAAGAGCTGTCAGAAGACCAAAATGGTTTTAGAAGAGGTTGGGTCACATTCAGCCTTGGGATGTTAGGTGAGAAATACACAAGTGCAAAAAACCTTTATGTATGCTTCAAAGACTCTGAAAAAGATTTTAACGGGGTTAACCACGGGATGCAAGGGAAGACCCTGAAGCAGGTATCAGAACCATAAAGGATTTAAACTGGAGTCAGGAAGCAGCAGTTAGAACAAAGAACTAAGCATTTGGTTTGTGGTTAATGGAGGCATACAAAAAGAATTTATGCTGTTATCAATATTATATAATCTACATACATAAGAGGTGAAGCGAAGAGCAGGAATGACAGAAAACAATCCCAGAGTTGCTCAGGAAAGACGAATAAGAACAGGTTAGAATAATGTGTGTTGGGGAAGGAAGTAAAGGGAAATTCATCAACAAAACCACTTAATGACAGAGGACTCAATCCAATACGTTTTTGAATATCATTATTTCATACAGTTAGAAACATTCAAGAGTTTAATGTCATCAATCAAACTTCACTAATTATTCCAATATCAGTATCATTACTGTAAATAAGAAAAGCAAAGGTCCAGATTGATTGAACTCAATTATAATAACCTCTTTCTTTCACCCATCAAACTAAATTAACTAGTCTTTCCAAACTCTTACAAGTGTGATAATATTTTGTGGTACTTCATTAAACACATCCCTTTCCATCATCCATATTCTTGGGGGAAAAAAATAAATAAATATTTACTTAGTAAGGTAAGCTTTCCCTTCGGTGAATCCATTTTGGCTTCTTTTTTTCATAATATTATATTTCCCTAGATGTTAGCAGATAGACTACAATTTTAATTTTTCCACAAGAGAAGACTAACTGGTCTTCATTTTCAGGGCAACTCTAATCATCCCTTTTAAAAATAGGAGTGACACAAGCAACTCTAATAATCTCCTTTAAAAATAGGAGTGACACAAGCAACTCTAATAATCTCCTTTAAAAATAGGAGTAACATGAGCAACTCCCATCATCCCCTTTAAAAATAGGAATAACACAAGCAACTCCCATCATCCCCTTTAAAAATAGGAATAACACAAGCAACTCCCATCATCCCCTTTAAAAATAGGAGTAACATGAGCAACTTTCATCATTCTCTTTAAAAACAGGAATAACACGAGAAACTCTACAATCCTCAGGCACCTAAACACCCATGTTGATCAACAAAAAAAGAAAAAAGTGAAAATTGCATGTTGGGTCCCTGACACCTTTAAAACACTAGGGGTAAACCTTGTCTTCTCCTAGTGTTCTACTGACTTGGGGTAAACCTTGTCTTGTCCTGGTGTTCTACTGACTTGGGGTAAACCTTGTCTTGCCCTGGTGTTCTACTGACTTGGGGTAAACCTTGTCTTGCCCTGTGTTCTACTGACTTGGGGTAAACCTTGTCTTGCCCTGGTGTTCTACTGACTTAAACCCACAGTCTTTCTACTTACCAACAAAAGATTAATATCTACATGATTCAGGTCAATTCAGATATTTGCCATAGAATGTTCATGGTCAGGAATATTTCTAACATGTTCTCTTTCAAAAACTTGGCCATCTCACAGTTTTGAACAAAAACCCTGCCATCAGCATCCTTTAAGGACCTAGTTCCAATTTTAAAATTTTGGTTTCCTTGAAGAGATTTTATAAAAAAACCTTTACTATTTTAACATTATTAAACAGATAGTTTTCATAAGCTGTCATAAATTTCCTAAATACTTTTTAAATCAGATCCTTAGCTTTCCTACAGTTCTCGCAACAGATCAGTAAATTTCAACTTAATCATGACATTTATCCCGATTTTCTCCGTCATGTCTTTAGTTTAATCTTTCCTGTTATTTATCCTGATTATCTCCATCGTGTCTTTAGTTTAATCTTTCCTGTTATTTATCCAATTATCTCCATCATATCTTTACTTTAATCTTTCCTGTTATTTATCCTGATTAGTAAATACAACAAATGAACAATGTGTAGTGAAATTAAAACCAACTTTAAAATTAGTAAATACAACAAATGAACATGTACTGAAATTAAAACCAACATTAAAACTAGTATGTACAACAAATGAACATGTACTGAAATTAAAACCAACATTAAAACTAGTAAATACAACAAATGAACATGTACTGAAATTAAAACCAATCAACATTAAAACTAGTATGTAGAACAAATGAACATGTACTGAAATTAAAACCAACATTAAAACTAGTATGTACAACAAATGAACATGTACTGAAATTAAAACCAACATTAAAACTAGTATATACAACAAATGAACACGTATTGAAATTAAAACCAACATTAAAACTAGTATGTAGAACAAATGAAC